GCAAATCCTGTGAAGTCATGTACCCTCTGGACACAGCTTTCTTCAGCAGGCCCTTGCTGTTTCAGGCTTGACAGCGTTCACGGCCTTTTCTATGACAGCGATGGCATCTTCAGTGGTGTGATCCTCAGACTCTCATGAGGTTCTCCATGGTGTTTTCTTCCACAGCACCAAGTCCTTTTCATGCAGCACCATATGTAACGAGTCTGATGGGGCCAAGTGCAGTGGGTCAAGCTTGCAATCCCAGCACTATGGGAGGCTGAGGTGAGAGCAGTGCCTTAGCACAGGGGTTCGAGACAAGCCTGGGCAACTTGGTGAGACCCTGTCTCTACAATAAAACAAACAAACAAAAAAGCAGGGCGTGGTGATGCACACCCGTAGTTCCAGTTACTTGAAAGGCTGAGGCAGAAGGATCATCTGAGCCCAGCACATCGAGGCTGTGGGGCTGTGAGTGTGCCACTACACTCCAGAGTGATGCCAACTCAAAAAAAAAAAAAAAGCCTTGGATCCCCTAATCCAGAAGCCAGATTAGAGATGTGTTTGAGGCCAGTACACCACTCCTACACCCTGAATTGGTGTTGAATTCACAGGGTTATGGGAGGCCAAGGGTCTCATCTGATAAGCAATAAATTTTAAAAGGTAGTCCCTTATGGCCACAGTACTTCTGACTTCAGGGACAAAGCATTGGTGGAACTAATACAGAAGAAAGGCTCTCGCTGTCTAGGCCACCCTGTCGTAAAACCAGAAGAGTGGCAGCTGGTGTTTATCTTCCCCTCCAAAGCTAGAGAGTCAGCAGCTTTGTGAACCGAGGACAGTCCTGATTATGAACCTGCTGGCAGCACACAACACAGTCAAGCCAGTCCATCCCTTCTGCCTTAGTCCTTGTGTTTTTTCCTCTTCCTTACTGACATTTTTTTTTTTAGCCAAACCTCTTTCTAAAATTCTCAAACCACCCTTTGTTGGCATTAAACTCCCCAACTCAAGATCCTTCGTCTTCCATTTGCTCTAAGTTGTCACTTAATGACTTTGCTTTTTCTTGAATCACATCAGTCTACAGGCAGGCCTTTCCCATGGCAATCCTGCACCAACACAGAAACTGCATTTTCAACAAAGGATAAAAAGATACTCTGCAAAAAGTGCAAGGTGTTTTTGTCTGCTAGCATAGGTGCAGTAAATTTCCGTTTCTTAACACAGGCCTTAGGCAGGATTTGATGCTGGATTCGTTGACCTCGGAAGAGCGGTATACCGAGCTGTAGACTCTGTCTAAAGGACACTCAAGCAACTCAACTTGTTCCTGTGATGTCATGACATCTCTGCTTCCTGGGAACACTTCCTGCATCACAAGTGGCCCTCCCCATGTTGCCCCTTGGTGCTGAATTCAAGGTTTACAGTACTGCAGACACAATGAAAAACACGAGAACTGTGAGATCACTTTTCACCATGATGGTTGCTGGTGAGATGAATCGTTCACGCAGAGATGAGCATGGCACAGCATTTTAAGCAGATACTCTTGAGCTCACCTTGACAGCGGGAGGTGGTGGCTAGGAAATTATTATAATGTTATGGTATGTACTGCAGTTAATCTTATGCAGATATGACTTAATACTGAAATTTTTTTTTGAGATAAGATTTCATGCTGTTGCTGAGACTGCATGCAGAATGGTGACATGATCATGCCTAGCCAACAGTCTCCAGCTCCTGGGATCATGTGATCCTTCACCTCCTGAGTGGCTGGTACTACAGGCATATGCCACCACACCTAGCTGTTTCTTCCCCCTTCGTAGAGATGAGGTCTCAATGTTGCTCAAACTAGGCTTAAACTTCTGGACTCAAGTGATCTTGCCAACTTACCCTCCCAAAGTGCTGGGATTACAGGTATGAGCCACCACACCCAGTGATTTAATACTGAATCTTTTTTTTTTTTTTTAAGTTGGAGTCTCTCTCTGATGCCCACACTGGAGTGCAGTGGCACGCTTCCAGCCACCGCAGTCTTGACCTGCTGGGCTTTGGTGATCCTTCCAAGCAGCCAGAAATACAAGTGCACAATACCACATCCGGCTAATTTTTTTTTTGACTTATTGTAGAGATGAGGTCTCACCAAGTTGCCTAGGTGGGTCTCGAATTTATGGGCGCAGGCAATCCACTCGCCTCGGCCTCCCCAAGTGCTGGAATCACAGGTTGAGCCACCAAGCCTGGCGCTGAATCTTTATGTAGGTTTATATTGCTCTTGACTGCAAATGGCACATTTATGATCTGTGCTTGTGTGCTAAAGTTTTGACAAAATTTAACTTTTTGTAACAAATTTGTATACATTTTATGATAGTAAATGATAAAATAGACTAGGGTATACATATATATTGTATGCATTCATGACACACTTAACTTTTCCTTAAAATTTTTTTGCAAGCTGGGCTCGGTGGCTCAGCCTGTAATCCCGTGCCTTTGGGAGGCTGAGGTGAGTGGATTGCCTGAGCCCATAAATTCGAGACCCACCTGGGCAACTTGGTGAGACCTCATCTCTACAATAAGTCAAAAAATTAG